TCTCTCTCTCTCTCTCTCTCTCTCTCTCTCTCTCTCTCTCTCTCTCTGTGTGTGTGTGTGTGTGTGTGTGTCTCTCTCTCTCTCGGTCAACAAGAATTTTGGAAAGAATTAGCTAAGTCTTAAAATGTTCACTTCTATATACTTTTGTAGAGTTGTAAGTGCAGTTTATGGTTATTTTACAAATAAAAAACAAGATTTAATTTTTTGGGTTTTTTTTTTGGTTTTTTGTTTGTTTGTTTGTTTTTTCGAGACAGGGTTTCTCTGTATAGCCCTGGCTGTCCTGGAACTCACTCTGTAGACCAGGCTAGCCTCGAACTCTGAGATCCACCTGCCTCTGCCTCCCAAGTGCTGGGATTAAAGGTGTGTGCCGCCACCGCCCGGAAAGATTTAATGTTTTATGAACAGTAGTTTTTTTCTACTTTACTGAGTGAGGAATTTAGTTGTGAGTTCCTTGAGAGAGGTAAATGGAAGCCCAGGGCGTGTTGCTAAACAGTGTGATCTTGCAGTGTTACATTAACTTCCTAATGTTATGATTTGATGCGAGGGGGTGGGGTGGGCAGGGTCTCACTATATAGCCCAGGTTGATCTGGACTCACAGATGTATATGTGTAGATCAGGCTGGCCTCAGATACACCTGCCTCTGCCTCTGCCTCTGCCTCTGCCTCTGCCTCTGCCTCTGCCTCTGCCTCTGCCTCTGCCTCTGCCTCTGCCTCTGCCTCTGCCTCTGCCTCTTATAACCTGCCCCAATCCAATCTTTTTCTCTCTTAAAAATACCTTTACTCCCAAACCCAAAACATTTCCTCCCTGCGTGTGGTGTTTGCAGACTTGAGTCCGTCTTTGTTGACTGAGTTAATATTCATCAGAGCGTGCATTATGCTCCCATTTGGATGAGCTGTTGACGCCACTGAACCTGTAGACATCCACCCTCCAGGGATCTCAGATTTCTCCTTCCTTGGCTTTGGAAGGGACAAACATTTCATCGGGATTGAATTTTTCCTAGGAATTTATACCTTGTTCTAAGATCAAAAGTGGGTATTTCACTGAGAGATTAAAATTTTATATTTTGTGTATTAATTTTTCTAGTGTAGTTCTAGAGACTTAGGACCTCATGCAAACTGTCTTCACACATAACACACACACACACACACACACACACACACACACACACGATGTAATAATAAGGAATCAGTGAGAGTCAGTTCTCTGCTTTCACCACGTGGATTCTGGGGATCAGACTCAAGGTTGAGAGGCTTGGCAGCAAGCGTCTTACCCACTAAGCCTTTGCACCAGTCCCTGCTGTGTTTCTTTGGTGATCTTCATTGAGCTGTTAGTATTCTTTTTGAAATAGGAGTGTGTATGGCCGGGCCAGGGTGGTTTTTCATTCTTGTAAGTCCAAGTCTCCAATTCTTGACATCACTGTTCTCACTTACACACTGACTTTTACACACTAACTCTTACACACTGACTGCTGGTTCTCTTTGGCTTTGCTCATGAACTTGACACAAGCGAGAGTCTTCCAGCGAGGGGGCATCTTAATTGAGGGATTACCTCCATCAGGTTGCCTGTAGGTAAATCTGTGGGGTGTTTTCTTGGTAAATGATTGCTGTGGAAAGGCTGAGCCCACGCAGGCAGGGCCACCCTGGGGCAGGCCGTCCTGGATTGTATAGGAAAGCAAGCAGAGCAGGCAGTGTCCAGCAAGGCAGGCAGCAGTGCAGCTGCGCACTGCTTCTTGCATCTCTTTGCTCCTGCAGCTCTTCTTGTGTTTCCTTCCTGACTTCTCTCGGATAATGGACCGGGATCAGCCTTGTGAGCCAAATAATCCCCTTCTCCCCACGCTGGTTTCAGTTACTGCTTTATCACAGCAACAGGGCATAGCTTACTAGGACATTGCCTAAAATGATACTACTTTCACAGTTCTTAACACAGGGTTGAGAGTCCAGGGAGCTTCCAGAAGACAAGAGTGTGTGAGGTTGGTTTGTTCCTGGAAACTCCTGTGTAATGTTCTAGGTGCTGTGGACCTCGGCTTGATTTCTGGTTTCTTTGTTCCCACACAGCTTCCATAAGGCAGTCTCAGGAGGAACCTGAAGATACGCGCCCAGAGATACGGATTGCACAGGAGCTGCGGCGGATCGGAGACGAGTTCAACGAAACTTACACAAGGAGGGTAAGGACCTCTTCCCATGCCCATAGAAAGCAAGACCGAGAGATGTGGCCTACTTCTGGGCCTTATGTTGTTTCTCTCCTAACGTTCTGCTCCTGGTGCCTCTAAGGGTTTGGCTTTGGTGAACATACAATGTGAAGTTGGAAGAGGTATCTTATGTGTAAGAGACCTCAACATATTAGTACTTAAAATTCTTTTAAAAGGTTGTTGATTCACATGAAATAGTTCCGAGTAAATATGGGCACATGGTCTTCAGTTCATGGAAGGTGCTTCTTCACAGGCAGAGCCGTTAGCTTCTGTAGTGGCTCAGCCAGGGCTCGCAGCAAAGGAGCCTTGTCCTCAACCCTGCTGCTAGCTTTTCCGATTTGGTTATTGAACTGTATTACGAGACCGGTCATCCATAGCCTATGATGTGAACCTACTGAAGGCTAGGGAAGGGTAGCTGGCTGTCTTGTTGATTTCTCAGGCGTGTTCTTGATTTAAATAATAATGATAACAACAACGGAGTCCAGCATCTTCAAAAGCAGTGTGTTTAAAAACAATTTTGATGCCTTCCTGATGGAATGAAGACATGTATCCATTTGAGGTCCTGCTTCCTGTGGAATACACTTTTGGGGAGTGTAGGCTTTGACTCTGAAGTACAGGACTGCTGTGAGTGGGTCAAAGTCATTCAAATATAATCTCTCTTTTCTCTGGAGGGATGCCAGTCAAGGGACCCTGAGATGTTTCTGTCTTTACATAGATATATTCAATGTAGCCACCGGTCCAAAGTAAGAGTGTTCCCCATGAACTGCTTGAGGAGTCTTGTTCCTTTGGGTAGCAAATCTATCAGGGAGTCCTGGATCTCGAGAATAGTCTCAATTCTCTTTCCTGCTTTTCTGTGGGGCATGTCGGGGGATATGTGTGTATGCTATAGTCACGCTTCTGTCGTAAATGGGAGCTGTCGTGTTGATGAATGGACTGAGGAATGTTTCATGAAACAGTGTAGCTGGCACAGGCTTGGCATCATCCCCCCTGACATGGATCACTTCACAGAATATAAATTCCTTCTTAGCTTAGGTCCAAAGTGGCAGTCTTTTTGGGGAGATTGGTTGATTTTATAATTCACCACTAAAGTTACATCCACTAATCCATCTACCTTGTTTTCTTTAAAGAGATTTTAGTGTTTGTGTTGGTGACCCAGCTGGTTGACTATATGAGGCCATGGTATGTTTGTGAGCCTGGTCCTTCTGTTGAGGGCAGGGGTAGGGAACATGAGCCTGTTGAAGAAAGTAAGGGGCTACATTTGTGACTTGGGCTGGACTTGAGGCCAGAGTTCTGGAGAATAGTCCATTTTTGATGAACGTGGAGATATATAGGTATAGTTATGAACTGGCTATGATGCTGTGTCTGTCTTAGAACACTGTACATGCCCTCGGGGCTGGACCTGGTGGGTGGGTATGTCTCCGGAGGGATGCAGCTGTGGGCAGGTCTTTGTACTGCTGAGACTTGTACACTGAGATGAGCTGGTGCAACACCCCATTCGGGTTGTATCAAAGCCTTTGTCTGCAGAACCAGGCGTGTTGATGGATATTTTGTACAAGTTTCATTTTAAACCATAAGGTAAGGATAGAGGATTAGGAGGCATTCCCCAATGGGATTGATGGTTGATAGAGCACCCTGGGGACTGTGAGGGGTTTATGATGACATGGTCAAGGTGAGGAATGGCTAGGCTAGTAAGAGTGTAGTCACGTTCTATGGCTGGGCCCTCGGTATCTGAGTGATGAATGGTTCAAGTTCTGTGCAGATGAAATAGGGACTGTTCCAGGTTCTTCACTAACTCAGCTTGCCTCATAGAGGGTGAGGCTATGCCTGTATGTGCTCTGCCTCCTGCTTTCTTCCCAATGTTATTCTACAGTTTTGTGTTTACATATGCATTTTGTAATGGTTGCATCAGTTGTTTGGTTTTTTTTTTTTAAAACAAGAATTGACAGTGTTATTTCCCATCCTTTTAATACAATAAATGTAAATAAACATTGTTATACTATTTTGCAAGATTTTATACTTTGTATATTTTTTTTATTTGTCTGTCTCTCTGTGCCTGTCTCTATCAATCTCTCTCTCTCTCTCTCTCTCTCTCTCTCTCTCTCTCTCTCTCTCTTTCTCTCTGTGTATGTGTGTATGTGTGTGTGTGTACATTTGCAGGCTACTGAGCATGTTTAGAGGTCTCAGAATAACTTGTGGGAGTTAGTTCTCTGTTTCCAACTAGTTTCCAACCTGTAAACTTCTCGCAATCCTCAGTCCTTTGCCTCCTGTCTCACCAGTCCTAGGATTACAGATGCACACACCACCACATCCAGTGCTCTTGTGTGGGTCTCGGAGGTCTAACTCAAGACTATGAAGCTCCTGAGTCAGGGTTCTTTTACTAGCTGAGTCATCTTGCCAAGCCTTAGCTTATCTTAACCCATTGCTGAAATTTGGTCACTAAAAAAGGACTTTAGCTTTCTTAGTAGGCCGGGGAAAGGGATCGTTTCTAGACTAGGCCTGAATTCCCCTAAAATGAAGGCAGATATTCTCCAGATGGTAGGTGTCAGCAGCCAGTTCAAAATATCAGACTCTGAAACGCAGAGCACAGTGACCCCTCTAAAGCCACAACCACCAGCCTAGCTAGTTAGAAGAGCAGCCATTGTCTGTCATCACACCAATGGTCCATTGTGGAACACTGGGGACAGGAAGCTGGGCAGGAAGTGGGAGAATAATGACTTCAGATAGCTGGCTGCTGAGCTGCTGCCCATCCTTCACCTACTTGACAGCACTCACCGAAACTTCTAAAAGATTTAATGTCTGCACCAGGTTCTCTCCAGGGTTGTTATCTTGTATTGCTAACCTCACAGAGCCTGACAGGATATCTTCCCAAGTTACCAGTTAGGGAGTTACAGACACTATTTTGTAGTTGTATGTTTAGTCCATTTAAGAACAGTGGGTCAGCGTGAGATGGAGCTGTAGAGGCAGAGGCAGGAAGTCAGGAGGGAATGTCCAGGCCTATATGCCGCTGACTACTGGACTCCCAGAGCCGCACCACGGGCAGCTGGACTCCCAGAGCCGCACCACGGGTAGCTATCGCTAGGAGCACGTATGCTCTAGACCATGGGAATTTGGGGGAGCTTTTCCTTTTGAAAAACTTCATGAAGCATTCAGAGAACTTTGTTAACATGTCGCCTTGGCACCCCCAGTATGTTTGCCATATGCGCTTTCAACCTGTGGGTTGTTTTCTCCATGCCCCACCTTGGCTTATTCTTTAAAATGGTTTTATTAATTCTTTGAGACTTCCATTCAGTGTTTTGATCTTATTCCTCCCCCTCCACCACCTCCCTACTCACCCAATTTCATGTTCTCTTTATATATAGCTGGTACAAGTATTCACAAGATGATCAGGAAACATGGCGGGGGAGGGGGAGCAACCACAGGAACATTTGCTGTGAGATTGTATCATCTGTATAGAACAGGGAAGCTGCATCCGGGAAGTCTCAGTATGGTCACCTAAGCAAGATCTGAGTAAGGACAATCCTGCCTGACACGCAGGTGTGCATAGGGGGACTCTCACGAGATCCCCACCCCTTATTAGTACTGCACTGTATGCTTCCTGAGAGTATGAACATCCGCTCATATGTACATGTTACAACATGTAACAGTCATAATTAGCAAATGGATAGTGTCCCCCTGCTGTCTTGGGACTGCAGACCTAAACTTCTTCTCTGTCCTGAAATGTCCCTTTAGGCTGGAAGTTGGGGGAGGGGAAAAGTGATTCAAGACCCATCCTAAACTCATGCACTGCATTAAGGTGCACTTTGGCCTGGTAACTCCTCTCTATCTTTGGAGAGGTGACACTTGTGGAGGACTGGGTAGTTTGAGTCTAAGGACTCCTGTATTTCTTTTACCTGGTGCTTCCTCAGGTTGAGTTAGGTTTTATGCTTCTGTAGGAATGCTACAGAGGCAAACTGTCCTTGATCTCTTCCAACGAGAGGTGTGTGGTGGCTGCTGCTGACAGTGTGGAGCCAAGGTGCTGTCTTCCCTGGATAATTAGTACTTTTCCCTGTAATGGACTCAAGAGCTTAAGACGGAGGAGATGAAGCCACACTAGGAAGATGGTGTGCCTCCTGAAAGATGTTTCCTGATTGTTATACCCAGGCGCTGTACCAACCATTCTAAACCTTGGTGTCTACTCTGCAGTGTGGTACCCATCTGGAAGACTTGGGAGGATGGCAGGGTCTTTGAGGGGAGCTGGACAGTTTAGGAAGGTCAGTGGGTCCAGAGAGAAGCTCAGAGGAACTAGTTGTCTGGAGGTCATGGAGAAAGCAAGCAGTCTGCGTTTAGCTGAGTGCTGAAGGGTTATTTGTATCTTGCAGCCTATGTTTGAAGCCTCTTCATCCTCGTGGAGGGATGCATCAATGTTTGACAACCCACTTCACATCTCCAGTAGCTGTCATCAGGGCTGTCAGCATGGCTTAGCTGCTACTCTTAATCTGTACCTGGGCCAGGTGACATCAATCACATGCCACACAGTCCTCAGGACCTGCAGGCACTAATCCTAAAAGATATCCACTCGTGGGCATTTTGGTTGTGGGCTGGGTTGCTGGGAAAGGCCTGTCAACCCTTCAGGTATGTTCAGGGGATGTCCTCGAGCAGCCAGCCTAAAGCTGACCCTTGCAGATGGGACACCAAGTGAATGGAAACCCTTCCTTTGTCTGATCACAAGAAACACCTTTGGTTTACACTGCTCACTTCCTCCTCCGTCCAGGACATGTACGGGCAGGAGTTGATTGGCGTGTGCGTAGACAGCAGGAGAGCCCTCATCAGATAGAGTGGAGCCGAAGCAGGAGTCCACACAGACCAGCTTTGAGAGAAAATAAGTTTTACTGAAGCAATACGCACAGGAGCATTAGTATTTTAAACTCGAAGCCTCTGCGTCTCGCCTTCCTAAGAAAGCCCACTGTGCTCTCTGTCTCTGCTTTTAGCAATGAGGT